TATATATATATATATATATATATATATATATATATATATTATATATATATACAGTTATAACTTTACATACCTATGTACGGTTTAATGAGTATTAATTTAAAAATAGTATATTTTTATATAATAGCAATATACAATGCGAAACCTTATTTTATTTTGTGTGAAAGTGCCGAGAGAAATCCCCCCAATTGTGCTGAGGACGTGTGCTCCAGAGTTGGCGCCGGTTTTAACGCGTCTTTTCCGGTACTCCTACTCCCTAGACGTACTCCCAAAATCATGGAAGACGGCTTTCGTCCACCCGATCCCTAAAAAAGGCGACCGCTCAGACCCGTCCAACCGGCCTATCGCCATCATCTCCTTGTTCTCCAAAACAATGGAGTCCATTGTAAACTGCCAGCTCATAAGGTACCTTGAGGATCACCAGCTGATTAGTGACCGCCAATACGGTTTTCGCCGTGGTCGATCAGCTGGTGATCTTTCTGGTCTACCTAACTCACAGATGGGCGGAGGCAGTAGAGTCCAAGGGGGAGGCATTGGCCGTTAGTTTGGACATTGCGAAGGCCTTCGATCGGGTTTGGCACAAAGCGCTTCTTTCGATGCTCCCTTCATATGGGCTTCCTGAGAAATTGTGCGATTTGATCACCAGCTTTCTTGCAGATCGGGGCATCAAGGTCGTTGTAGACGGTGCAAGCTCCGATTGCAAGCCTATTAATGCTGGTGTTCCACAAGGCTGCGTGCTATCGCCAACGCTGTTTCTTCTGCATATCAATGATATGTTGCAAACCCGTAACATTCATTGCTATGCAGATGACAGCACTGGTGATGCTCTTTACACCGGCCGAGCAAATATTTCTCGGAGAAACGTCTCCCAGTGCCGGGACAATCTTGCGTCTGAAGTCGAGTCTTTGCTGAACAGAGTCTCGCATTGGGGGCGACTAAATCTAGTCCAGTTTAACCCCCAGAAGACACAAGTTTGCGCGTTAACCGCTAAAAAAACCCCTTTGTCGTATCTCCTCAGTTTCAAGGCACTCCCCTTATTGCCTCAGCCAGTATCGGAATCCTCGGCGTCGACATATCGAGTGACGTGCATTTTCGTGGTCACTTGGAAAAGAAGCGTGCTCAGCAGAGCGGGACAGTATTTCATGCCGGCACACCGCCTGCAACTTTACAAGGTGCAGGTTCGGCCGCACATGGAATACTGTTCTCATCTCTGGGCTGGGGCTCCCTATTACCAGCTCCTTCCACTTGACCGCATCCAGCGCAGAGCGGCTCGAATCGTCGACGACCGAGTGCTTTCCGATCGGCTCGATTCACTGGCACTGCGAAGAGAAGTTGCATCTCTTTGCATTTTCTTTCGCACATACCATGGAGAGTGCTCTGAGGAATTGTTCGGATTAATTCCAGCCGCAAAATTTCGTGAACGCACTACGCGGCAAACGTCCCGATACCATCCACACCATCTGGATGCTTGGCGGTCCACCACTGTACGTTTCAAGAGGAGTTTTCTTCCGCGTACAACCTCTCTGTGGAATAGTTTACCACCAGCGATTTTTCCGGACCGATACGACCTGGGGACCTTCAAGAAAAGAGCTTACTCCTTTCTAAAGGGCCGGTAACGCACCTGCAATTCCCCTGGTGTTGCGGTTGATAATGGGCGGCGATAGTCACTTAATATCAGGTGAGCCGCATGCTCGTTTGCCCCCTCTTCTATAAAAAAAGAGGAATTACCGAAACGCACCAATTTTGAATTGATCTGTGAAACAAATGTTAAGAGTAAGATTGATTTTGTGTGCTTTCTCCAAGTTAATATTTAACATTATTACAAAATAGTGACGAGAACAGTAGAGAAATGAGGGAAATTGAAGCAGAAGATAGTGTGCAACATCTTTCTGATAACAACTTAAAACCATAAAAATCTACGGTTGCCAATCTGCTGGCCAAGTTTGGCAACAACTACATACGAATCCGAAATTTCCCTATCGAGAAGAAAGCAATGAAGAGCATGCTTTCACAGAATGTCAGCGTGAAATAGCAACTTAATGCTGGTGTTTCATTAGGATGTAGAGAACAAGATACCTTTTTATTATTAACTAGGCATTTTATCTAAGCTCTTTGGGGTGACAACGCATTTACATTTTGATTCTTTATAAAGGATAGATGTAGGTGTCTATGGGCCACAGTATCCACTTAACGCAAGGTGAACTATATGGTCGTTTATCATCAAAATATTGTAATTACTAATCCCTCTCTCCTTTGTGAGGAATTCATTTATGTATATTTATTGTATTATTGCTTTCCAAAAAGTTATCGTCACGCAAATTTCTTTTGAACCGTAGGACTTTTGGGCATATATAAATTGGGTTAGCAAATTTATTGACACACATCTATTTTTGTTTGATCCCTCACACAAAAATAGCTGTGTGTCGAATCCATAACCTCCATCCATCATCCTCCATGATTATAGCCAAACAAATAACCACAGCATCCCAAAACCATCAAGATATGCCAAAAACTTTTTAAATCTATATATATATATATAATATTTTATTGCACATTTAAAAAAATTTGATTACTACATGTCATCTAAAGGCACAGAACAACATCTGCATAAAGTACCTGTTAGTCTGATATATTTTCATTAGACAAAGTGGAAGCAGTAATCCAAACTAGATGATCGCTAAAAATATATTTCGACAGCGTAACCAGGTTTATGATCGCTTTACGCATCCTAAAATATGTCGTAATAAAAGCGGGTAAAATTAATACCAATAAAATGTCTATTTAACGACGTGACATAACTTTAAATCGTTATTCCACACAGTCAGTTGTAATATAAAGTTTGTAGAATGTGTAATACAACTGACAACATAGTTACTAGTGGTCTCCCGCAGTCGAAATTCAACTATTTCAACTGCACATTAATATGTATTAAAAATACAGATATCTAATGTTTATACATAATTCGTTTGTTCGTGTGTATGTGACTGAACTCCAGCTAAATGGATGAACCGATGATGAAATTTTGTGCTTGTGTTTACGATTGGAACTCACCCGTGCGAAGCCGGGGTGGATCGCTAGTCAATCTACAAATAATGTCCTCATACGGTTTTTTGCGGTGTTGTGGCGATATATGAGCTACAACACATCAAGCAAGTTATGCATTACAACAAGCTTCGAGTCCCGCGCCTGTGTCATAGTGAATGATTGAAGCCGGCCATATTCCAGCATGTGCCTTCTATATTGCCATATGTCACAGGTGTCACTTGACGAACAAGATTGGCTTCATCTTAAAGCGTGTTTTTATGAAAAACACTTCAAGCCGTCCAAGAAGATTAGTCAGTTTTTGCCATCAGTCAAGTGTAATGTCCGAAAACACCGTAAAGAACATCAGTTCCTTCCAAGGATGATTCGCGAGGTTATTGAAATCAAAGAATATACTAATTTTAATCCATCACCATTACCGTCTGCTAGGGCTCCTATAATTATTAAAATTAAATTCCAACCCAAGCATACAACTGCAAGATTTCAAGATACTATAAGTTCATACTACATAGATCAAAAATTACGAGTAATAAGTTTGATTTTGAGGTAGCCGTGGTTAACATTGGGACGTCAAACACTTCAGTCCCCCCGTGACCATAGGTGCTGTAAAGTGTTCGAAACATCAGAAATATAAAATAAGTTAATATGCACGATCTTGTCCGTAAAAATTAGTTCGTAGTAGTTAAATTAGTAGTAGTTAAATATAGCGGTGTTCGCCTATTTATAATAAATCAATAATGATTTTTCCTAATGAATTCTAAATTTACTTCTTATTCTTATAACATCATCATAAGAGCCTTTCTCAAATCCACTGCTGAACATAGACCTCTCCCAAGAAATGCCACATAGAATAGTCCTGCATCCATTGAACATCACTTACCGACCTGAAAAGAGATGCAAGAAGTCTATGTATAGGTCCTGGTAAGAACACTCCATCTAATGGGCTTTTGGAGTTAAGCGAGACTGCTACGGAGAACCTTTACTCTCCATCAGCTGTCGCTGCTTCGAGTTATGTGGTCAGCCCATTGCCACTTCAGCTTACTGCTCCGTTGAGACGTTCTACTACTGTTATTCTCAATTCTAAATCTACCACACAGAAAATATTTTAATCTCGCTAAGCGACATTAAGCTTCCTCATATCATCAGCAGTGTAGTACCACGGCTCAGATCCATACGTTAACCCATTCGCCTCCGGCAACGCACCCCTTGTGTTCCGCGCACTTCTTGGTGTTTGCCACCAACGCACCATAGGCGTTGTGACTATCATAAACTGACTAAATATTTTTTGTAGGTGCGTTCAGAAATGTGCGAATACTTTCATCGATAAACCATAGACAAACGTCACGTTCGTTATTTTCAAAACAGAAAGTGACATTTTCGAATCGATGGTCTTTTTTCATGTGGGTGAAGTGGGAAAAGTGCTGTGATTTTCGTCGTAAATTGTATGTTTATTCGTGTTAAGACAGTGATTATTATATAAAATCGAAAGGTAAGTGCTTATTATCATTCATTATTTCTGTAGATTATACATTTATAATCAGATTCCGACAATAATGATAATATTTAAATTTCAACGCAAATGGTGCGTTGAATGGCACACACGAACAATAATTGTTGGGATGGTATTATGCTAACATTTTCATTAGTTTGTTAGTGTAATACTTCTGATTATTATTTGTGTCTACTTATGAGATGTAGTGTAATTATTTATTTATTTAACTTCATATACACATTAGATTAGATAGGCGGACTTAATGCCTGAGGCATTATCTACCGGTCTACCTTAGATTAGTAATTAGTAATCAGTTGAATAACAAACTTCTGTAGCTTGGTTTTATTGTAATGTTAACTACCTACTACAAAAGTAAATAAAAATACTTAATAGATGCAGTGCAAGTCATAAAAATGCACATTTCATGTGTTATGTTTTATTACTTATTTTTAGATAAATATCGAGAAAAATGGCAGATGGCAAAAAACAGCGCAGTGCTAGGCTGGTGAATTTAGCTCTTAATCAAATAGAGACAGATAACAGCTCCCTGAACACTTCGAATAGGGCAAAATTGTAACTTAACTTTAATTGTGTACTTTGTTTTGTATTGTAATTGTATTGTATACTATATAATTTTGAAATTGGTTTGAAGTTAATTGTATATATATATATATATATATATATATATATATATATATATATATATATATATTGCCATCAATGTACGTAATTTTAAATAAACAGTTATCTAGCATGTTTGTTTTGATTGTTCTTAATGTTTTTTTGATATTTTCAGATTCACTGGCCAAAATTGGACCAGGAGACGAGCCAAGGTATTATCAAAACATTTTGAATGTGAGACTCATACAGAATCTTGCAATGCATTAGACCATGCAGAATCTATAATTCACAATATTCAGCATTCAAAAAGGTAGGTATTTCACATACAAAATTATTTATACACGCTGTTATTCAGATTACGGTTCATAAAAAATACAAATGTCTTCACAAATTCTAGGGATGTCACTTCGCCTCATTTAAAAAAACTGGAATTGTCCATTCCTATTTTCCATGAATCTACTGTAAGAGAATTCGCGCAATCTGCAATGCAATTTACATCAACATCTGGCCCATCACGAAGTTGGATTAGTCAAAATAAAATAATGAATCCTAAATTAATGGTCATGGATATTGTAGAAAAGGATAACCCTATATCAGATAATTCACAGGGAACTATTTTTAATGTAAGTGGTACGTTACCATAACCAATAAATTCTAGAATCAATATAGGAGAAAACGCTGGAAAATCGGTAATGGTTAAAATAGGCGAAAAAGAAATAATGGCCTGTTCTTTTAAGCTATATACAGGAGATTTTGATACTTCTAGACAGTCTAGTTATGAACAAGTTTTTTCAGAGTTAAAAGACAACCAAAGAAAACACGCAGGCATGTAAGAATACGTGGTGACAAGTTTGGTTCACCCTGAATTTCGAAAGAGAATCATCATCATTACAGCCCTTTACAAGTCCACTGCTGAACATAGGCCTCCCCCAAGGTATGCCACAAAGCACGGTCCTGAGCCACCTGCATCCATCGACTTCCTGCATGAGAAAGAGAATATTTCAAATATTAAAACAACATTGATATCGGATATCGAGACCAGTTCCGAGGATGAGAAGCCACTAATTACCCAAGAGAGACCATGCAAACGTGTAAGGACAAGTGGTGGTAAATATTGTTCAGCTTCTACTTCCAATATAAAGACAAGTATTACATTGATATTGGATATCGAGACCAGTTCAGAGGATGAAAAGCCACCAATTACCCAAGAGAGACCATGCAAACGTGTAAGGACACGTGGTGGTAAATCTTGGTCAGCTTCTACTTCCAATAGAAAGACAATTAACAGAATTAGAATTAACAGACATCATCGGAACCACTTCAGAACATGAAAATATCTCAAACAGATCTGAAAATGAAAACTTACCCATATCAGATGAACAACTACTACAAATTCTTGAAGACCCTGATGAGAATTATGACGACGATATTTTTGATGCTGATTTCAATGAGAATATGAATCATTCTGACAATGATAGCGACACATCAATTGTAAGTGAAGACGAATTAGTCCTATTAGAAATACTGAGGAAGATCAAGAACGGTCAAATCACTATAGACAGACTAGAAGAATTAATTTTGAAGGAAATCCTGTAGGATTAAAAATTCAACCTGAGGGTTCAGTACCAATTGATTATTTTAATCTTGTAGTGGCAAATGAATGTCCTCAAATGATTGTTGAAAAAAGCAATGAGAATGCCTCTCGGATATTAGCATAAAATTTTCCTGGAAGTAGGTTAAAATATTGGAAAGATATAACTATGCCAGAATTCAAAGTTTTCTTAGGACTCTTATTCCATATGGGCACCATGAAATTGAACCTAATTCAAGATTATTGGAAAAAAAAATCGATTATTCAATCTTACCTTTTTCCGCCAACATATGAGCCGGAATATATTCTTGCTTATTTTAAGAGTCCTTTACTTCGAAAACAACAATGTTGATGACAATAAGTTGGCAAAAATTTCGCTTCTCGTTACATATTTTAATAATCGGATGAAGGAAATTTATTTTCTATCTAATAATTTATGTATTAACGAGTCACTAGTGTTATGGAGAGGACGTCTTATATTTCGGCAATATATTAAAAACAAATGCAATAAATATGGTATAAAACTATATGTCTTGACAGATGCTCACGGAATTATTCTAAAAACAATAGTTTATGCTGGTGCAGGCGATACGACTGTCGGTGGTACTAACCATTCTTCAAAAGTCGTTTTGAATTTATTACAACATTATGTAAACAAAGGTTATTCTGTGTATGTGGATAACTTTTATAACTCTGTTGAGTTGGCAGCAAACTTTTTTGTCACAAAAAACTTATTATACGGGCACCCTAAGACAAAATCGAAAAAAACCCTAAAGAAGTAGTTACCAAAAAAGCTAAAAAAAGGGTGAGTATGTTGCTCAATTTAATAAAAAAGGTATCTGCGTATTGAAATGACGAGATAGTCGTGATATCCTTGTAATTTCATCGGAATACGATGCACAAATGACGCCAACTACAACACGTCGCAACACGGAAATAATAAAACCAAATATAGTGATAAATTATAATAAAAATATGGGCGGAGTTGATCATCAGGATCAAATGTTATCATATTACAGCTGTGAGCATAAGATTGTTAGGTGGTATAAAAAGTTGGGAATTCATATTCTACAACAAATTCTTTAATCTTTGTATAATTCTTTTACCATATAGAAACTACTATCAGGTACTACGGTTTTTATATGATTTCCGATTATCAGTGATCGAGAGTTTCATTTCTGATGTCAATATTACAAATTCTCGCACTTTTTCTAAAGTCCATGTATTACAACCTTGTCCTCGGAAGGGAAATTCAATGCGCCGGAGATGTAAAGTATGTTGGGAAACAGAAAAAAAAACGTAAAGACACCCCTTATAATTGTTCTGATTGTGATGAGCAGTCTGGTCTTTGCATTACCAACTGCTTTAAATTGTATCACAATTATTAATTAATAAAATATTTTTCTAATTAGAACTTTTATTTAAGTACTTTATTTTTCATAAAGATATTTTCATTGCAGATTTTCAGTCATTATTATTTTGCTAGTTACGCATGTGATTGCATAACATCAGGCTTGCGTTACCGGCTCTGCTAAAAAAATATCTGTGAGCCACCAACGCAACATATGAGTTTACGGTTTTTTTTTCTGTATTTTGAGTTTTTTTAATTATTTGACTATTTATAATATAGATAGTTATATTTATTTAAAACCCATTAACACAAAAAAAAACAAAGTGGATCATAAAGAAAAGAAAAAAAATCTGGTGGCATTGAGTGGGTTAACACTGGCAACATGCACTGGTTGTACAATCTGATACCATGTCTATCATAGAAATCGAGCTCCATCATGAAAAATATCATAATGTTTACGAATATCTAATGCTATAGCCTTAATGAAATTCCGATGTGAGCGTTAATTAAAAGCATCTATCAAATTGACTCCGTGAGTTTTTTTTGACACTGTGTTGATATATGATCACCATTATTTCTTCAACAAATCTTAATGAAAAAATCGGCTAATTCATAAATAACTGCCGACGTCTATTTAACTTAGAAAAGTGTTACTCTAAATGTAATAACTGCTCTAACTAAGTGTATGTCTGAGAAAATTTAACTTTTAATAAAACTTACTAGCTTTGGAAGTCGATTTTAAGGTCGTTGGATTCAGACGGTACTATTTGTAAATTATTTTATTACTTTTTGTTCTTTGAAGTCGGTATTTACTTTTTATTGTGTAATGTTAATCATTTTGAGTAGACTAAAGTTCACAAGTTCGAGTTAAGTAAGGTTTTCTTCAAATATATATATATATATATATATATATATATATATATATATATATATATTTGTATATATATATATATATTTGCTTTGGTATGGTTTGGTTTAGTTAATTTTTGTTAAATATAGGGTCCCAAGCAGATAGCAGCACCCGTCAATCGTCTCTACTGAAATTATAGCCTCATCCTTGGTAGAAATTGGTGTTCCTTTGCAAGGATTAATAAAAGGTTTATTTTCAGCCCATACTTTATGTGGTGTCATATCTAATAGAGCACTGAGTTGGCGAGCGGTTTACAATATATGCAGCTGTGGCGACTGCTTCATCCCAAAATGTAATTTGTAATTCAACATTTAACATCATATGTTTGGCAGGCTCTATTAAGGTTCGATTCATCCTCTCGCTTACACAGTGTCTGTCAAATCTGATATACTACTCCTACACGGTCAACGAAGAGTATAGAATAAAAGTTAAAAGTAAAATTACAGCCTACATACGTCCCCCTGCTGGGCATAGACCTCCCTCATTTCTAAGAGGGCTTCAAGGCAAGGAAATGTTCGCGGCGCCCGCAATGCATGTTGGCGGACTTCACATATCTTTGATTTTTTTCTAATTAAAATTATTAAAATTCTGTCTAGAAGACGCTAAGTGAGAAGTCAATTTAAAAAATAATATTATTTAGATTTAGATTAACTAAATATCTTTTAAACTTATTAATAGGGGTTATATGTATGTTGTATTTATATAATAGCATTCGATAATTAAATGTGATGAATTATTAATTATTTCAATATATATTCACTGCAACTGAACACAGGGTGTGTTTGTATCACACTGTCCCATCTCTCAAAACTAAACTGTATATTATAATGTAATGTATGCATTGTGTAATGATCTATTAAAATCATTTAGTTAAATTCTTAAATCTAGTACTCAATTCTTATCTAAGCTATTCCTAAAACTTTCGCAAGTTGCGCGCCTTTTAAAAGGACATTGCTCCGTGCCCATATATTGTTCGCCCTGGAACCAAGAGCATCAGAAAATTCTGTGCTGTATTCTCGATCATTAGGGAATTCCTATACGATCTTATTTTTATAGCGGACTAGTTATAGAAAAGATATATTTGAAAAACAGTATCAGATTTTGAGGTTATAATAGAACTACTAACATTATGTTTTTTATCATTTAGTGGGATTTTTAAAAAACAGAAACATTTAAAAATTTATGGTACCGTCTTCTAACAACATAAAACTACCAGCAGAGCCGCAATTTACACAAAATACTTTTCCTTGCATATGCGTAACAAAGAAAATATAACCACTACGTTTAAGATGCGGGACTCCATTAGTAAAAGTAAATGAGTGAAGGGGCTCCAAATTAGTCTACCAACATCAGGACATGACATTTATTTTTTGAAAACAGTACTGACAACATAGGCGAATTATACTAGTGCTGTATATGTCTATTCGCAAAATAATGTTTAACGATATATTGTCTATCGTAATCTTTTTGTGTAGAATAAGCGTGACAAACGAGCACACAGTCCACCTGATATTAAGTGGATGCTGTGGCCCATAGACATTTATTAGCGGGCCCATATAATAGCGGGGATGATCTTATGGTCTCAACGGGCTTTCATAAATTAGCACTCTGTTTTTAATTCGCAATATCATGTGAGCGATGGGCACAACCACTGTGGCGAGATATTCAGAATATGTAGCGTATTAATGAGCGTCACATACTGCAGTTTTCCCGTAGCGTCAGTGGTGAGTGAAAAAAAAATACAGCTGACGTGAAGCACGTTAAAAATGAAAAATAAGTAAATTAAACGCGACAAAGTCACACAAAAATAAATTCACGTAAAGATAAGTTCACGTAAAAATATTTTTATTCAGTGTGTAGTATTTGCGCAAATATAAGAAATCATTATCATTCAGTATTGAATAGAAGCATGTAGTCAGGAATCAGACGCATTTATTGACTATGACCTTCGATGAATGATTATACTAGATTAAAGATCAGGAACAACAATAAGTAAGAACACACGAAAACATTTATATCTCCTAACACGTAATATAGAAAAAAGATTAAAAATATTAACCACTTCAGTTTATTATAAACCTTATCACACAAACATAAAGTTTAAATACCATTGCAAAATATGTTTATTTAAGTTATGGCATCTAACAAAGATACCACTTGAATATAAAAAGCCATAAGTACACAAATATTTATACTAAAATGAAACTTAAAGTCTAAGCGATAAGGTTAAAAATATTATGTTAACAATTTCATGCTTAGCCTATTTTATTGGTATTATATTTCAATGTTCGTTAAAATGGCTATGATTGAACTATACTAATTTGAAATAAGACCACAAAAGTATTTGAGGTCTTATTTTTCGGGCCGTTTATGAAGCGCTTATCGGGAATCTAGTACTATTATTGATCGAAGACTATGACTCTAATTTTTATAAACGTTACGACCTCAATCAAACAAAATTCGCCTTGAATTGCATGCGCGCGGATGAATTGTTAAAACACCTCAAATTGATTGACTTTTGAGAATTGAAAAGTGGTTTTGCAATGATCTTATGATTACGCACCATGAATGATTACGGAAAACTTTCTTTTATTCAAGCGAAAGTGGTAAAAGAGCATAGAGTTTAACTGATGGTAAGTGGATGATAAACACTTCTCACACTTTAAATTGATTAAACATCAATATTCAGATGTTTTGTCATCTCTGAGGGCTAAGATGGGTCGTTACCAGTGAAAATGATCTAC